AAGCAGCAGCTGTGAGGTCTCCACGGATGACCAGAAGTTGGGAACGGTTGTTCGGTCCGCGAATCTTGAGGTGAACCTGGATTCATCGCTAAAGACGACTCGTTTCCAGTCTCTCTGGGTCCATCGGAGGTGACGTCGGGCCCACAGCAGACGTTGACGTTGATGAAACGGCGTCAATATTGGCCCACGATAGAATGGCAGCCCGCAACCGATTTTGAATGGTCTGTGAGGACAGTCGACCTCTAAACATCTCAGCCCTGGTTCGTGTAGCCGGCAGAAATCTGTCACGTAGGTGACGTAGGACAATTTGACGGTCTTATGCTCGTGACGTCACACGTGGACGACCCGACCTTGGGCGATCAGAGGTGGTACCAGTTTGTTGTAGACGACCTCGCAAGTCATACACAGTACGACGGCTGCATCCCTTTTCTCTTGCTCCTGCCAGCACATTTGACAATCGTGGCATTTCAAGTACCGTTAGAAGGGTTTTTTTCAATTCTTGAGGCCAATGCAAACACGTGCATATGAAGAAAACTTCGATGCGAAGATCACGTGATCAACTGCACATGCAAAACCTAATTTGGCACAAACGTCATTTGCACGACGAATGGATGGGTGTGAGTGGGTTTTGCTAACGTTTTTCTAGAGTCGAAAGATAGGGATCCCATTTCGGATACATAGATGTTTCAATAGAGAAAAATTATGCATTATTTTTCAAATTACATTTTGTAATGTTTCTTTTTTGGCTCAGTACAGTTAAAAATTTCTGAAATTGAAAACTATTGACCCAGTACAGTCAGAAACTGCTCACAAGTTTCAAATGCTATTTACTATCTTCAGTCTTAAGGAGAGTCTCGAAATTTCATAAACTGTGGGTTTTAATGGCTTTATCCCACTTTTGGGCAGGGGCACATGACTAATAATACTAGTCACAAATCTCTGAAAATTAGAACTATTGACTCATTACATTCAGAATTTGATCACAGGTTTGAAATGTTATTTACTATCCTAAGCCCAGAGAACATCTTCAAATTTAATAAACTTTAGGTTTTAAAGGCATTATTCCAGTTCCACTCACGAGTAGTAAGCACACGAGTAGTAATAATATTTAAAAATCTTTGAAAATTAGAACTATTGACCAAGTACAATCAGAATTTGATTATTTGTTTGAAATGCTATTTACAGACCCGTGCCAGTTATGTTTGGACACTTTCGGGTCCGTAGCGTGACGTGTTGAATGGGTAATCTTTGAGGCGCTCATAACAGCATTCAAGAGCGATTATGCCCCTTGACAAAAGCTTTGTCATATGATGTGGTCAGTCTGTCTTCTGCTTGTTTACATTGACTACGCATGACGATGGGGCAGAAAAGTAAAGGTGCGCTTGATGTGATGCTCATTGAGGGTTGACTTAGCTTGACCAGATGTGAGGATCTCTGCTTGAGTTAGTACCGTTGCCCATCCTGAGTCACGTAGCAGCTTCCCTATCATTAGATGCATCTTGTCTTCGATGTGCAATGCACTCATCATAGGAACAAGCTTGTCTTTGATGTTTTTGTTCCACCCTCTAGGTCTTATTATCCATCTAACTTCTTTAATATCATTCACACAAATTTAATTTATATATCATTGTAAAGCTCTTTTTATTGTCTTCCATTTGATATACACCATATAATGTACAATGTGTGACAATTTATGACTAAAACTTTTCTTAAATCGGGGTGGCGGGTGTTTTGTTTTTGGTCCAAAATGGCCGCGACAGGGGCGGCAATCTTGGCGCCCGTCAGAAATCAACTTTGTATGTCTTAAGCTACCTCTGTGCCAAATTTGGTGCTTTTGGAAGAATCTTAACCAAAATATCCCTATGCCCCCTGACTATATGGTAAATCCTTATGAACCTAATGGAAATTTGAGTACTTTTCACTTAATGCTCTTCTAATTTTCGAAAGTGCTCGTCTTAGATGTCGAAATGAGATCAATTCTGGAGGTAGTTCATTTTGCAATAGTTTATATAATCCTGTACTCAGATGGTCAATCTTTCTCTCAACCATAGTGGCAAAATGAAGTTCTTACGCAACGAGCTGAATCCAGTGTCCATGCAATGCCTTGAACCATTTGATCTTATCATACTCCATCTAAAGCTGAGTATCGTGGCCTAAGTGGCGAGACGATATATCCCGATACTAGTTTAATGAGGCGAGACGATATATCATGAAAATATTGGCAAGGAACCTGCGAGACGATTATCATCATGATACAGTGGTGGCGATACGATACTTATCCCGATACTTTACAATCCTAAAAACAGGACATATATGATAGATGAAATGACTGAATCTTTTTTTGTTATTCAGCAGAACATGTGTTACATTCACACACACTCATGTAATAAAGTTTCAGCATTTAATGCTTAAGAAAGTACAATCAAGCATATTCAGTATACCTTGCCTTGCCAATGCTTGCACAGGCAATTTATACAGTAATTTATACCAGAATCACTGCAAAAAAACTCATAAGTATGCTTTCTAAATTTTATCTTCTCTTTCTTAACAAAGCTAAGACATCGTTCATAGTTGTTAATAAATGGTGTTATTTGTCAAACAACTAAAACATGTTTCAATTACTTAAAGACAAGTCTTTACAGTTCACAGAGATTGTTCACATGCTTTCACTGATACACTAACTCCTTTGTTCATGTAACAAAGATGGCAGACACAAACAAATTCCTTTTAGGTTCAGTTTCTTTTTAAAATTCACAAAAATTTCAAAGAGACTCCCTTCCTATTACTTATGCAATACTCCCCTACGACTTTTAGTAGTATTTAAGTTGTATCGGGATATATCGTCTCTCGTGGCGATACATCGATGTATCATGGACCCTCGCGATATAAATATCCTGATATATTGCCTAAATGTGTTTTGTATCGATGCACTCGTATCGCGTAGTTGACGATGCAAACATCGATACTATCGATGAGTCGTTACACCACTAACTCCATCGCTACTAGTTGACTCAGTCCCTTGTGATTTTCGAGAATACCATGTCTTAGACCTTCCAATCTATCATTAGTCTTTGCCATAGATGAACCCATGTAGTTTTGTGACACGTTAAATGCTGATTCCTTCGCTTTCATTCTCTTAGTCAAGATATTGACCTGTTGTCTGATTATGTTCACGTCACTGTCACTGTCACACTGAATAGATTGTGTGAAAATTCACCAATGAAGAGAAATAATGATCGCCAAGAGCGTGTTTGAGAACCGGGAAGTGGACTTTGGGGAATAAGGTTTTGATGAGAGTGATCCCATCCACCAAGTCATGGAAAGTGTCATCATGTATTTTATATATGAAATTCAGAATTGACATCATGTTTACATCAGCTGAACTAACAATTACGCAAGTATCCTTTGGAATGAAGTTGATAGGTATACGGCACGCATGTCGCCAGTGGTATTGAGTTCCACATTGTCAGTAGTGTCATCATCACTTTAATTGTGAAGCCGAAGGGTCCTGTAGAACAGAGACATTCAAGTAAGTTCTTGTTTTCAAATACTCTGTTCCTCTCCTAATCATCAAGTCACTCTTAAGTAAGGGAATATTTAACAATCCCAATTGGTCATCACCAATGTACAATACAACAGATCAAACTCTCATTAATAATGTTTAAAACATTCAGTTAACTGAAGAACAGTTACACAGTTCATACAGCCTTAGTTCCGGAGAAAATAACACGCAGTATTCGTGGGTCAGTCAAATATATCGAATATTCGTATAAATGCGGGGTCTCTCCACTACAAATTCATCAATGCTCATAGACGCGGTCTCTCTCCGCTTCATATACATCAATTCTCATAGGCACGGTCTATCTCCCGCTTCATATACATCAGTACTGATACATTTTGGGTAACCATATGAATTGACACGTGTCATAATAAAGAGGGACTTAGAAATATGTCTTACTATCTTTTACTCGGAGTTTCAGGAACATTTTGATCAGGAATCCTATCGTTTGTTCTCGCGCTTCTGTTTCGCTTTTCCTTTCGTTATCTGTCTGATGTGGAAGTCTTCGAATTCCACTATTTCCGCAGGGAGAAACTCCCATAGGACCCATTCATGTTTTGAGACACCTGCATATCGGACCTTGTACGATTTACCCCTGTAATCCAACATGCATTCTCTGTTTCATAGCACAATTTCTTTCCATATCCAGAAGGAAGCATAAATAAAAAAAGGGTATATATTATTTTTTCCTGAGCATGGCAATATGACCCCAACATTTCTTTACAAGGACAAACATACATGTTGTTGAAAAACACATGTTTATAACTTGTCTCCCCACGAAAGGTTCTGTTGCTGGTTCTAGATGTGCTCCAAGTGCTTAATGACAGGATGTGTCTCTCCTTACGATATCTGCCATAAAATATTATTTATATAGAAGGGCATTAATTTTGAATATGCAATATTATTATGTAATTAAGGTGATCAAAGATAGATGTAATTATGATCATATGAAGACATATTTGAATTATTTCAGTGCTGTGTTTTTAAACTCTGGGTACGTTGATGACAATATTAGGGCTAGATGGAATAATAATGGAATATATTCATCGCTTTGAACAATTTTACACAATTGAGTATTTCACCTGTACACCGCTTTGCAAGAGTGAGTGAGTGAGTTTAGTTTTACGCCGCACTCAGCAATATTCCAGCTATATGGCGGCGGTCTGTAAATAATCGAGTCTGGACCAGGCAATCCAGTGATCAACAGCACGGGCATCGATCTGCGCAATTGGGAACCGATGACATGTGTCAACCAAGTCAGCGAGCCTGACCACCCGATCCCGTTAGTCGCCTCTTACGACAAGCATAGTCGCCTTTTATGGCAAGCACATGGGTTGCTGAAGACCTATTCTAGCCCGGCATCTTCACGGGTCTGCTTTGCAAGACATCTGTTTACTTTTTGACAGGATGATGAACAACTCATATAAATATGTAACATCAGTAAAAGTGTAGATGTTACACACCTGAATACAATTCATTGTGGGGCTACAGAGAGAATAATTATAGATCCCACCATTTAGAGTTTGAATGGTCCCTAACCTAGTTGTTATTAGAGAGTGACAATGTTTCTTATCTTTTCAGTAAACACCACAACATCAACAGCTAAATGATGGAAGTTGATAGCAATCCACAGAATCTTTTCTCTGTCACTGAAACATATGAAATCTGTTTAAGGAGTTTGCTGAAAATAGGAGATCTCAAGAAACGATTTTTATTGACACTTTGAAAATAAATCATCTCATGAAAGAACCCATTATTGGAACCCTGAAAACAGATGATTTAGAGAATCATGAAAAAACATAGTGGTCCAACAGAGCAGTCTCATACATGATCTGTCAAAGTGGAATCAACACGTCTCAGTGTGTTGAATGTCAGAAAACATCTACACCATCAGCTAATCTTCAGACACACGTGAACATTCACAGTGGAATCAAGCCCTATTAATGTGGGGGGAAATATAAAATCAGGTCATCTTGCAGACACACAAGGATTCAGAGTGGAATCAAACCATATCAGTGCATTGTGTGTGAGAAAACATTAACACAGTCAGGTACTCTGCAGACACACATGAGGATTCACACAGGAATGAAGCCTTATGAATGTGTTGAATGTGGGAAAAGCTTTACACTTTCAAGTAAGCTGCAGGAACACATGAGGATTCACAGTGGAATCAAGCTTTATGAATGTGTTGAATGTGGGAAAAAATTTAGACATTCAAGCAGTCTGCAGACACACATGAGGATTCATAGTGGAATCAAACCTCATCAATGCGTTGTGTGTGAGAAAACATTTACACAGTCAGGTACTCTGCAGGAACACATGAGGATTCATAGTGGAATCAAACCTTATCCGTGCATTGTGTGTGAGAAAACATTTACACAATCAGGTTCTCTGCAGGAACACATGAGGATTCACACAGGAATGAAGCCTTATGAATGTGTTGAATGTGGGAAAAAATTTACAAAATCAGGTCACTTGCAGACACACATGAGGATTCACAGTGGAGTCAAGCCTTAAGAATTTGTTGAATGATGGAAAACATTCAAGTATTCTGCAGGCACACATGAGGATTCACGCTGGAAATCAATGTGTTGAATGTCTTAGCGAGAACTTCGGTATTCAATCAAAGTATTTAAACTTCCAGAATTCAAAACGAGGCTTCAAGCTTGTTGAATGTGGGAAAATATTTACACATTCAAGTATTCTGCTGAATGAGGATTCTCATGAATCTTTTACACATTCAGAGACCCTTCAGAAACACATGATGATTCACTGTGGAATCAAGCAGCGAAGACTTATCACTGTGTTAGGTTTGGGAAAGGATGTACCCCTGCAAGCACCCTTCAGGAACACATAAATATTTGAAGTGGAACCCCATGTTATCAAAGTGTTGGATGTGGGAAAACATTTGCACTGTCAGATACTCTTAACCAGTAAACAGTTCAGCTGATCAACTGACTGTTGTTTTAGTGTTATGTATACATAGCAAGGTGTAAGACTGATTATAGTTCTCCAGTGTTAATTTGGGGTAGCTGGTGACAATTCAATGCTTACAGTCCAAACTGACATAACTTGGATATGGCTAAACACAACAACTATGTGTTAAAACACACGTTTTTAATGAGTATTCCACTGTTTAAAAAAGAATGCAATTGTACCTTTCCATGTATTGAGGGAGGGAGTTTACTGTTTTGCCCCTTAGCAATATTCCTGCAATGTCACGGCCTGGGACACTAGAAATTTGCTTGTCACATCGTATACACCTGTGTGTATGTGTGTATATATACTAGCCACATAAAGAAAATTGTGCATTGTCAAAATATTATCCCAGTTGGTAAGTACGATAACAATGTCAACGGTACATAATAAACTTTAATGGAGGGATCATGAGACCATAACAAGTCGGGAGAATTTCAATTGAAATGACGTTACGAGTCCACAAGCGGGGCAGGGGTCAAACGACCATGTCACAAGCTCAGTAACGGGTATGTCCACCATCAGCATTGTGAACAGCATTGCATCGACGATGCATAGAGCCTATCAAACATGCAAGGAAGGTTTGTGGGATGTTGCGCTAAATTCTCTCAAGTTCTGTTGCAAGGTCAAGGACGTTATCTGGCGGATGAGGTAGATGTCAATCCATCTCGTCCCAAACATGCTCTATCGGGGAGAGTTCCGGTGAATTTGCAGGCCAAGGCAGTAAGTCAACATTGTGGTGTTGCAAGAAATCCATAGCAACCCTTGCCGTACATGAGGGCGGGCATTGTCCTGTTGGAATGTTAACCCAGGGCCATGACGTTGCAGAAAAGGAATTACCACAGGTCAAAGAATCTGATCCGTGTAGCCCACACCACTTAAGTTGCCCTGAACAATCACCAAAGGAGTTCTTTGGCGTGCTGTTATTCCACCCCAAATCATCACGGAACCACCACCAAAGCGATACCTTTCCAAGGCCAGTGCATAACGTTCTTCCACGCATCTATAGGCACGTTGACGTCCATCACTATGGGAAATGTTAAACCTAGACTCATCTGTAAAAACAACATTTCTCCACCAAAACAAGGGTCTGCGGACATGATTTCGGCACCACATTCGGCGAGCTTGTCAATGACGTTGTGTCAGGATAGGCCGTATGGCGGGACGTCGTGGTTTGATCCCATGATGACGTAAACGTTGTCGAACTGTGTTGGGGTGGATACGGCTAAGTCCTTGGATGGTTCGGGCAGTCATCACTGCAGTCTGAAACCTGTGGCCAAGATGGGTCACCCTTATCCATCTGTCCTGTCTTGGCGTTGTTACACGTGGACGTCCAGAACTTGGCCGATCAATGACATCATTTGTGTTCTGGAAGCGTCTCACCAGTGCAGAACTTGTCGTTGAGACATTCCCCCACGGACCATCCCAATGGCCTCATATCGTTGTGCAGACATGAGCCTTGGCATGCTATGCGTTTCAATAGCCATTTCATTTTTTAAACGGTCGCAAGAGCAGAGTTTGAGCTTTCCAAAGTGACAGTATTGTGTGGCATTCATTTGCTCTGTTTCACTTTCCTGGAATGCACGTGCAACAACGTATTGCACGTCTCAAGGACGAACCCACTGACGTCATGGAACGTAGCACGTGCATGCATATTGGATACATGTCACTAATCTCTGAGTTTAAATCCTTATGTGTCTACACAGGTTTGATAAATTTAGATTTTAAATTTTTGTATGCAGTTTCTTTATGTGCCTAGATATATATATATATATATATATATATATATATATATATACATGTATATATATATATGTCTGTGTATGTATGTATGTTTGTGTATATGTGTGTAATTACATATCTTAGTGCAAGCTTGTATGAGTGTGTATCTGTATGTCTGTATTTGTGTATCAGCGAAGACCAGACAATTTACATGGTTAAACAATAATATAACATCTGTAAATGTTGCCTAGTCTCATGGATATGATTTCCTGACAAATCCAGTGTTTAGGAAAATGCATTTAAGATACAAAAGCTTTCAAGAAGGATGAGGGCCGGTGGGGAGCCAAGTGGGTAAAGCGTTCGCTTGACACGCTGAAGACTTGAGTTAGATTCCATACATGGGTACAATGTGTGAAGCCCATTTCTGGTGTCCACACCTGCAATACTGCTGGAATATTGCTAAAATCAGCGTAACTCAGTAGACAGTCAGTCAGTCATCTCTCTCTCTCTCTCTCTCTCTCTCTCTCCCTCTCCCTCTCCCTCTCCCTCTCCCTCTCTCTCAACCATTGATCATGCGGTGAAATTTTAGATAAAATGGTATTGTGTCTTTACATTTAGGTTTCTAAGCATAAGGATATAGAATAGTAAATATTCACATATTCAAATATCAGTGACAGAGGTTTGTGATAGAAGATGGCGAGTGAGTGAGTTTTCTGTTTATGACAGTTGGAAGAGTATTCCAGTTATATCTTGGTCTGTCATCTTATTTTGGTAGTACAGACTTACATGCCTAACACTCACTGTGGTGCTGTAGTACAGACTTACATGCCTAACACTCACTGCAGTGCTGTAGTACAGACTTACATGCCTAACACTCACTGCAGTGCTGTAGTACAAACTTACATGCCCAACACTCACTGTTGTGCTGTAGTACAGACTTACATGCACTCACTGATGACGTCATTCTATACAGAAGTTTAGAAGTTTAGACGTACATGCACAACCTGACACTCATTTCACAAGAATTGGCATATGTCATTCCGTTAGCTCCACGGACTGGTGCGAAGTTCTATGAACATATTCTCTGACACAGACGAATGTCATCAGCACCAACCGCTGTAAAATAACGGAATTAATTCATAAAGATTTTAGTTGAAGGCTGATAAATAGTTTCCATTTGCATCTGGGCTCATCTCGCTCTTGCGACTGATAAAATGTCTTCAGCCTTGAAGACTCAGAGTGACAGGTTTTACAGACAGACAGGCATTGTCCAAAATCAGACCACAGATTGTAAAGGTTCGTAACCTCATGTCCACTTGTGTGTGAAATGGAAAACTGGCGTTACGTGTTCTTATATGGGGTTTTATATGTTGTAACCTGCTTATCTACAGGATTGAGATTTGTATTACATTCCATAAGAGGCGACAGCCAGACAGATTCACCAGCCAAAAGCAGAGACATCATGTCTACTTGTGTGTGAAATGGACTGCGATTACACAATGCCATTTAGAAATGGACTGACGTTAAATGTTCATGTTTTAGGTTTTATCTGTTGTGACCTGTTTATCTACAGGATTAACATGTTTAATCTATCTACTTTTCTTAGGGGGCGACAGCCAATTACACCAGTTTCATGACAGTCTCGAGTCGGGGCGGTGGGGTAGCCTAGTGGTTAAGGCGTTCGCTCGTCACGCCGAAAACCCGGGTTCGATTCCCCACATTGGCACAATGTGTTAAGTCCATTTCTGGTGTCCCCCCGCCGTGATATTGCTGGAATATTGCTAAAAGCGACGTAAAACTAAACTCACTCACTCACTCGAACCCTGCTCCATATTACGATCCAGCGTGTGCCTTTGTGACACCTGTAGAAGGAGCAAAAGGCTTCTGTGCGCATGTCACGATTTCAGCGAATGAAGCCACAAACGTGTACTAGTAAATCGTTTAAAGGTCACATAAACCCTAGGGGGTACAAATACATACATCACTAACTGGCATCGTTATAAATGAAACCCCGTCATTAAAACTACTCAGTTCGACCTTTAATTTACTTAAATCGACCTTTTTGACAACTGCACAATTCTAACCCGCGAACGAAATTTCAACCAATCAGAGCGGCGCGCATCTGTGACGTCATATGAGGAATAGCTTTGAGGGCCGATGCAGAATTCATCTACATTTTAGGGGTTAAATTATCTTGTTTACAGGCTTGTATAAACCTGAAATCGTGACAATTGTTGTGGAAAATTAAAGCTATATGTTCTCACAATCTACTGTCATTTAATTTTGTCTCCTGCTTTGCCTTGTTTCCGAGTTACAACTTGTTTTCATAGATGATTCTGTCAAAATCGATTGGTGTCGTTAGGCCCTATTTGTATAATGACTGATCCAAACTGATCCCATTTTACCTCGATAATTAATCATGTCATGCAAAAATCTGTTTGTATTCTCAAAACAGTTTCGGCCCATAAGTTTTCACATGCAATACAGCAATTAATACCCCCTTGTTGTAACCTGTGTTAGGTGGTATAAACCTACACATGTTATTTGTCATCATTCACTTGATGGTCAGTTAATGAATTTATAACAGGTATAATTATTGGTAACACACTTAGATTACCCGACAAAGGTTCCCATGTGGCATTTCTTGTGTCTGGAGTAAATATTCAACATTATAAACATCGATCAAAGGATTAACCGATAACATGCTGATTGATTAATTACTTTTATCTTACACAGCGGAATTGTCAAAAGGTAGTGTTTATGTATGTAGATTTACTAATCTATACTGAATACACTGTCGTGTCGGTGTCTGCGTAAAA